TCTGTTTTTTAGATCATGTAGTAAATCTGAAAAGACAGAAGATAAATTACTTGTCCCCCTTCAATTTTTAAAAAAAAACGACTAAGTTATAAGCTTCAAATCACATACACATTATCACCTGGGGAAAAAAGGATTGTCCATCAAGGCAGGTGAATCAGTTCCCAGTAACAAGAATCAGAGTAGTAACTAAAACAGGTGCAAGGAAAAGGCTCCATATAAACCTAAAAAGATTCCCTGAGAATCCCAAAAAAGAAATTTTGAGTACAGAGACCTGATGAAGAAGGAGGAATGACTGAAGAAGCACACAGACCACATCACCAAAGACCGGAAAAAAAAAAATTTAAAAAATCAGAGACTCTGGATAGGAAGGAACACAAACCTTGTATATTTGGGACTCAAAGTGCCAGCAAATTCACCCCCCAACTCTTGCCTCGGTAAGCTGAAATCAAGCCAGACAATGTTCCCATTAGAAGCTGCCCTGGCTACTTCCTTCAGCTGTGAATCCAAAAAGGTGTTAGAGTAAGAATGACAAATATTTTCATAATGGAAAAACTGCTCTGAGACAAGTGCAGAGCAGAACACCGCTCTCTAAGTGAGTCTAATTCACCACAAACCAGTCAGAAATGAGAGTTTATACACATTTTATGAACTATTTTATGTGGATCTCTCCTGCTTTATTCAATATGCCTAAATAGTACAAATCCCATATGCACACAGGAATAGCAAAAACCCCATACTGCAGAAAACTAAAGAGAAGATGGAGTGTTGCAAAAGAAGATCCCTGCTGTCTCACAGTGGGCTTCAGTATTTCTAGATCTTGCAGCTCTGCATGCATGTTGTCCTTGTCCTCCATAAAAGTCCCAGCCTGGGGGAAGAGGCACTATACCCTAGTGACTCCAAAACCATCAGCACTCTCAATATTCCCACTCCAGAACTACCATTTATTTCTGCTTACTATTTTAAATTACTTCAAATTCCTTTCACAACCTCTGGCTACCAAAACCAGGCCCCAGTCTGGTCCCAGTCTTAGGTGTCAACGTAAGTTTACTCAAACCTGTACTCTGACAAAAACCTTACAGCCTAATGAAACATTTTACTTTGAGGGAAGAAAAAATCATTTTATGATGTGAATTTAGTGCCCACAAGAAGAGTGCTATGCTATTGTCAGGTATGGGAAACTGCAAGATTTATCTACCAGAAAGAAGCAGCAGTACTTGCTAGATTACTTGCTCCAAGGAATACTAAGAAATTTCTGTGTACAAGTACCCTCGTTCACATTACTGTTTTGCTGTTTGCTAACTGGCACTCGGAGAGTTTACTCAATTCTAGGTGGTTTTACCCATCTGGAAAAGGCCAAGCATGCTTCTGTTCAGGACTGGGACAAGATAATACAGATATCTGTACCTGAAATCCCTCCAATCACATAAAGGCTTCAGAAGGATTTTTGAAACCTTTAAGATACCCCATAAAACCCATAATACACTGGCAGGAAGACAGGCTTTTAGGGAAACCAATTACCTTATTGCTAGAAGTTAAGGCATGTCTGTTAGACCCATGCAAACTACTAGTTAGGAATAACATGCAAGCTCTTATTTCAAGGCCTAAAACCTGCTGTTATTTTGCTGTGAAAAACTACTCGCACATTTTGTGTAGTCTCCATGGTTACCCAAGGAAAGTCTCCTAAAAGTTCCAAAACTAAATGTGGGTGCTGGAGCTTACAGACCCTGTCTACAAAGCATGATGACATGCAGCAGCCCACTCGGAAAAGTCAGCCGCTGAGTATCCGTCACTTGAAAGGAATAACCTACGCTGCACAGACAGATCAAAGCTACAGCAAATGAAACCCAGCCCTAAACTAAGGGACAATCCTTCACAAATAGAAGGACAGTTTATTTGCCATTCCAAATGCAAATTCTGCCAGTGACTTTTGCTAGGGCAAAGGAGGCAGCAGAGAATCATGTAAAATGAATAACTGAGCAAAAATATTCAGAATACCATGTTTTCTTTTCTTTTTCCTCATGGATAATGGATGAGCCCTGAGGTGGCAGTGACTTTCAGCAACAACCAACTCAGACCTGGACTTGGATCAGTAACCTAATTACAACATGCTTTTTACTTCTTTCATGAGCTATTCAAGTATCTCAACAGAAACACAAAATGCTTTGTGTGTGTCTGATTACCCCAAACTGTCAGTGGTTAATTCCAAAAGCGTATCCTCACTTAAAAATGGTAGTTCTACCACAAATTAAACTATTATAGCCATGAGAAAAATTAGGTTCCACATTTGTACTTTCTAAAATATCAAAGGCATGATTAGCAAAGTCTTTTGTTCAAGATCTCTAGAGTCCTTGAGGTAATGAAAACTGGGTCATGGAGTAGTTTCTCTTAAAGTAAATGCTGTGTTCAAGCAATACCTGCTCCTGTGAGTCATGGAGTATTCGGTCAAGAGAATGGAAATACTGTACCAACACACATATACCAACAGTAGTCCCCCTGCCCTCACCAAAAGAGGAAAGTTTCCTGTTACGATCCCTTGAAAGAAATCCAACCGTACTTTCACCCTGCTTTCTGTTTTCTGAATTTCTCCTGACAGTTGGCTCTTTCGTTTGCCAGAACCACAACAAAGGACGGCCTTGAGTTTCCACACAGGCCATTTTCTCCCTCTCTCGTCTCTGATCATCTCACAAAGGTATTATTGTTGCTGGCTCACTGGGACTCAGTGCACCTGAGGCAGATCAAAGGCACTTTTTAATGCCCGCCTGACCACACAGGTCTCTCTCCCACTGCATTAAATTAAACTCGATGATTAATCTCTGTAGCCCTGAGGGTCCCTTGGTGCACACGGAGAGAGAAAATATATATTTCTATCAAAACACAAGTATAATATACTTTCATTTTATAGCCCTAATTAAAAAAAGGAACAGCTAATTTCAGCCAAATGCAGCTGCATATAGGTCTCATTAAAACACAAATACAACTGCTCTGTGTGCTCTATGTTCACTTCATGCAGTCTATGCAGGTAATAGATAAAAGAACAGTAAACCGAAGCTTTTCATGGATTAAATCCAGAGGAGTTTAGAATTTGCTTATTGTCTGCTGGCTAGAGACTGTTATACCTCTGAGCAGATGAGTGAAGGAAGGCAGTTAAGGAAATGATTATAAAATGCTGAGTAGTTACATTTAAATAAAAATCTACTTAAATCTAGCCAAGAACTGCACAAGCATCTATTCCCAAGTTTGCATTCAAGTGATTAAGAGCCTTAAAAGGTTCTACCTTGTCTATGGTGTGCAGTCTGTGTACGACTTTGGGGTTGCTTTAATGACAGAACAGAACGTTGATTAACATTAACATAGATTTTATCACGTCACTTTTGTTATATTAGTGTATGTAATGGAGCTCCATCTCTCATGGTTGTGGCATATGTGCACAAAAAGTGCTATGAAAGTGTTTATACTGATATACCATGCTCTAGCTTGGGAAGCAAAACAAACTATAGTTGTGAACTGGGTCTACGTTAGAATTTACCAAATAAATACATTAAAAATTAATAAATAACCACACACATGTCCTCTTCCAGGGCTAGTTATACTAAAGGAATAAGTTAGAGACAGCTGGCCCATTTCCAGCCGCTCAGGATTGCCCTCAAACCTTTTGGGGAAACTGTCTGCAAGCTCCTCAGCTCATGTTGGTCCAGTATTATGTCTTTATTAACCCAACTCTTTTTAACGAGTTAAACTCACTCAGCTACATGAAACAGGTTAGGAAGAGTTCACACAAACAGCTTCTTCTGAAAGGGCAGAACCCTCCATCAAAAAAACCTGGAAATAATAGAAGCAGTGGCAGACTCAAAGGGTGACTTCTTCCCCCAGAGCTGGTATTTGCAGGATGCCCTATCTGCCCTGTGATAGACAAAGAGATACCAGTGTAGTTCTTCAGAGACAGAGTAAGCTAAGAGCGGTGGAGTTTGAGGTTTAAAACTCTTGTTTAGGACGGATTCCAAATATATTCCAATTGGTCTCCAGGATTTAAACTTTTGTTAAATGCTCTGCTTCACAATACTGGGATTATTCACATCTTTAAATTCAATCATGTGCTAAAATGCTTTGTTGAACTGCAATCTGTGTGACAAGATCACCATTTAGTCATACTCAAGATCACCACGTATTCATGCTGTTACTAGGAAGACAACTTAACTTACTGTTAAGGCTGACATTTTATTACCAGTTTTGTTTCTTTTTCTCTACTGGAGCTCTCTCCATGAAACATGTTAGTCCTCTTTAACACCTCTAGCACTCCCATTGCCATTTGTTCGTTTTGGAAAAATCCAAGTTATAATCAGTCTAAATTTAAGACCAAAATGAGTTTTAAATAAAAAATGTGGCAGAAAAGGGTACTTATCTAAATGGAATGCTTTCAGACTCATACATTTTAAAAAGGTATAAATTTCAAAAGCAGACACTAAATTTTAATTGCAATCTCAGAAAAAGCTTTTGTATTAATTCACTGAGAAAAATTAGCAAAGTGAAAATTGCTTATCGGGTGTTTTTTTTCTTTTTAGTCATGATACGTATCATAATTCTATACATCATGGCAACTTTCAGAGGTAGAAGGATTTATATTGATTCAGTGAAGAGGTGGGCGAGAAGGGCTGTGACTGAAGACATGCACTCCTTCTCCAAAGACACTATTCTGTAACACATTAGTGACAGGCTTGTCACGGATAACTCAAGCTCAGTCTTTGGCTCAGATTTCAGGCTGCTCTTTAAGCCACTCTAGCATCGTGGTTTTTACTTTCCATGTAATTTTTCAGTATTGATTTCTACTACTATTAAAGTTCTTGCTTAATAGCAAATGCATGGTAATATATAATTAATATCCAAAGGTAAAGATAGAGTTACCAGAAAAAAATCAAGGAAAAGGGTGAGAAGGACAAAGGTCATTTTTCCCTTCAAAAACATTAGCGTAGTCTGTACAAATTAGGACTACGCATACAACCTACCCCCATGTGGCATGAAGATGTTCCACAGATCATAGCAACTCGGGATGTAATTGGCTGGTTCTCACATGGCAGGTTGTGTCCTTTCACATCTGCTCCAATTACTCCTGTTAAAATAAAATTAAAATTTTGGTTTAAAGAAGATCAAGCCAACCCTCACAAAACAGAGCTTCTCTGCACACAAATAAAAAGTTATTTTATCATATCAGATTAAAATGTATTTTTATTCCAGATACATGAGGACACAAGATGATTTCTTCTCTGTTCATGTGTATCATCACAATTTTTAAATGTTATTTTGACTATAACCTGACCTTTATTCTCTTAGGTAGTACACTACCATGCAGAATAACAGACTGCCCTATTGTGAAAGGCAGTATGGTAGACTGCAGATATGCTTATTTGTTCACAGTTTATATCATGCATATACTGTATAATGTGTTTTGTCAGGGGTATGAGCTGGAGAAAGGGGTAACTTGGCAGGAGACTGGAAGACTGCCAGCTTTGTTGTCTTGACTGCTTGCTGCTGTTCTGTCCATGTCAGACAGAACCATCCAGAGGAAGATTACTCCTTCCCTATGAGGAACTGTGCTTGGCTCTGAGGAGCTTCTGTGTGCAGGACAGGACAGGACAGAGGACAAACTCAACAACTACTCAGCCCACAGCAGAAACACAGAGCCAGGAGATGCCAGAGCTGAGCCAGGAGCTTGCTCACAGTGGGGCAGAGCTATAGCCAAGCATCAGCACACACCCCACCCTGCTTAAATCACTTCAGGGGAGTGATCCTGCCCTCCTCCTCCTCCTCTCCTTGGCTGCATTCTTGCATCACATTGTGCTTGCACCCAGCAAAATGAAGCAGCCCAACAAGTAATACTCTTTTGTTTGTCTTTTTTTTTTTTTTTTTTTTTACTGCATTGTATCTTTATCTGCAGTACACAGTCTGGTGACCAGTTTACCAATCCTGCTGAAAAAAAAAAATATTTTTCTCACTGAAGAAGGAACATGAAAGCATTTACTGGACATTGTGAAAGATGCCAAGTGCTACTGCTGGTTAGTATGCTACACTTCATTAACACCTTCTTGTTTGGGTCACCATGGCAAGATTCTGTTATCAAATCAGTCTGTTGGGGTTTGTCTTATCATGATTGCCATGGTTATCATGGTATCATGACTGGAAGTTATCTAAAGAATCAGAAAAGTAAGGGCTAAAATTTTACAGTCTTCAAAAATCTGTCCCTTTATCCTAGCTGGCAACTATGTAGTAGAATAACTTGTCATACACAGAATTGATTTGTAAGGAACAACAGAAAGCTAAGGTATGTCTTCTTTTTCATTGCTCAAACAGACATGCTTGTGTTCATATTAAGAATTTTGGATATGGTTGTCTAAAAGGCAACTGTACTTACCTGCACTAGGCAACAGGCATAGAATTTCTTAAAAGTTTAAAATATTATTCACACTTCAGAAGGAACAAATCTATTAAACTGAATTGTCAGCATATGTTGCAAATGTATTTTCATAACAAAATGGAAGAGCCTCATAATTAGATATTTTTAATCACTAAGAAAACATGCATTCTGAAAAAATATGTATTTGGGGACTTTTTGAAATCAGTGGGATTTTGTTGGTGGCTTTACTAGTGTTCAGAGTTGTGAGTGTCTTCCTATTTATGATTAATTGAAATCAGACAGCAAATAAGTCTGGAAAATTCTCAGAATAATGAAAGCTTAGATTTTTTTATTTGCTAAAAATAATTGAATTGCTGTTGTAAGTCACTTTCACCTTTAATGTAGTTGGAATTTTTCATTCTCTGAGATAGACTGAAAATCTTTTGAAGATTCTCAAGAGAGACTGAGAACAAGAAGTCTGCATGACACACAAACTTAGGAGAGATTTTAGAAAAGCAGGCAGTGCTTAGCATGCGTACTTTTGGATCTCTTCCACAGTGACATAGTATTTTAGATACTGTACAATAAATTACCCACTTTTGCTGAAACAATGCTGATGTCTTTTTAAAAGGTGCAATGTAAACATAATTTTTATGAGGCCAGTCCCGAAAGACATACACACGTACTCACATTTTTATCTGTAGGCTCTTTTAAACTGGTACAGTAGGTCAAAATGTAAGACAGAACTGCTCAGGGTTTAGATTTTTATTTTTCCATAATAGGTATCAGATGGACTGATTCAGGAGTCATAGATGACCTCCACAGACATGCGTATTACATAATTCTTTACCTTATTTTACTCAAAACTTTGAAGCCCTCATAAACTTCAGGAACCTGTCCAGCAAAAAAACACTTTATATCTAGCCAAAAGCAGATCTGAATAGTGCATCAAAAGTTATTAACACCGAAAACAAGATGTCCATCATGTCATTTTGGTTTAGCCTGCAGGATACAAGAGAGCTGCTTTTGTTAGTCTGCTGTTACAGACTACTTTTAAAACAACCAGCAGAATGTGTTCAAGAATAAGAATAACGACACCCACTGGATGTTGTTGTCCCACAAACTAATCTAATGCTTACTAATATACAACTCATATCCTTCAAACAAATTGTAAACCTCAATATTTCATTACAGATTACAGCAAGGTACTTAAACACACATCAGTACCTTTCCAAAACAGAAGTTTTGAAGAGTTATTTATTTCCAGTATTTTCACATTTTAATTCACTGCTTCAAGTATCTCCTATTTTCTTCTGTGCCCCATTTATCATTATTAAAAGGTTAATATGCTTCAGTGCATTGCCATCCTTAATGTCTTTTGATCAGACACGGTTTCACTTCCTAGTCCTATTATCTGTGTTCTCATTTTGATTTTCTGTTTTTTTTCTTCAGGATTTTCAGCTCTGTATTCTACACACTGTAGGTTAAACTAGACATGAAAAAGAATAAGGTTCTTGTTATTGACAGCTATGGATGAAGGAAAGCTATTCGGTATTTGAGGGGCTGCCACACCGTTCATTTTCTTTATTCTGTTCCATTATCTTTGCACTCTCCCACTCTCCTTTTGCTCCTGCTGCCTCTCTTGCTATCCAAATCTTTTCCTCTGTACTGTCTTTTCTACTAGTTTTCCTACCTATTTATTACCCTTCCCAGATTCAAGAAGAATGAGTTCCATCTTAAATCTTCCTCTTTTCCCCAACTCCACTGAGTTACGGTGTGACTGGCATGCAGGTTCTCCCACTGTGTTACTGCCTCATCCCGCTGTACTGTGTCTCTCCCTAACAACAACCTGTACGTTTCTTTTCTCCTGACAATGATTTCTGTAGTCCGCTAGTGTTTGTGGTGCCATCTGGGAAAACATCTTCTGATAAACAGGGCTAAAAGAAGCAGACTGTCTCTGTCCACTGAAGTCTTACTCTGTGGGATGCCAGTAGCTATGTATTTCTAATGTTAGAGTTTATTTACAGAAGACTATAGCAAATGAACAGCTCTCTATTCTTCTTTAAATTCATTGATTTCAGCACATGAAATTTGCTGGGCAAACCTTTTGTGCTCTAAATCCAGTACTAACGTAACAATGCCAATTAAACGAAGGCCCTCCAATGCTGTTTTCACATGCTCTGTGACAATCCAGTTTTTCAGCCAGTTCATTATTTCAGGCCACCTTATTATTACATCCTTTTCAAAAACACAAGTCTGCTAGGGCACATAGTTTTAAGCATGTTTTTATGCAATTAGGATACTAATTCACAAATAAAAAGCTATTTTTAAGTCACAACAGTAGGAACACAATACATCTACGACTATGACACTGAAAAGCCTTCTTTTTTGCAGCTGGATCTCTATCTGATCTTTCTGAGGTAATAAGAAAAGCAATCTACATGATTACTTAACCTCATCAGAAACAGTTATCGAAAGCAGAGTAAATGGATTTAAACATTTAAAAAGTTCCAGGCCATAATTTCTAGAAAAAATGAGATTTGAAACATCACAAAATATATGAAACAAACCTGATATTTTGGCAGCTAATCATGTTCCATCTAGACCTAGAGAAAAATACTCTGATGAGTAATAGATTTCCATTGAACAGTTTCAATAACACTGAGACTCTCTGAGGTAAGACTTTTTTCTAAACTATCAAGCAAAAAAACCCTCAATTTCCTGATGAAAAAGTTACATTGAATCATTTTGTTATTCACTGTATTTAGGTAAGGCCAAACAGCATAGTAAGAAAATGAAGCCATTGAGCCTCACCAAATATATTTCAACACAGTTGAAACTGGGCATATTGGAATATTGTGCTGGAAAAGAAAAAAAAAAAAATGTCTAAGCATCAGGCCTCCCACTCCAGCTATGGATAAAAAGTTCAAAGTCACAGAAGGGAATGCTGTGCAGCAGCCAGTTCCCCCTCTACTTTTGTATGCTAGTTTAGATACACAGTATTTACATATTCTACCCCCCTGGACCAAAAGCAGTGGTTTTGGTATATATCCCACATTGTGCTAGTATAAATGTATGTGAAAAAGTGTCTATTGCATTATTTAAACAAAGCATGAATCACTTCTAAAACTGAGAAGGAAGACTAACTATGAACAATCCTCAGACATGAGACTTCTCACTTAGAATGTTAATTTTTTATTTTTCTTGCCTGTCCCCAAAGTTTTGAGTAACAGAAGCTGCAAACTCTCAGCACGTCAGCATGCCAACACAATGGTGTTTCACTTCAGGAATTAGAAGTGAAGCTAGCAGAAGTTAACAAACAGTTTGGAAATCCAGCTGAAAAGAAATGAGCAGTGATAGCCTCTTTCTATAAACAGATATTCAACATTAGCAGTTATTGTGAGGGGGGTTTTATTTTAGTTGTGCTATTTCATAAGAACAGCATCAGAGCAAATTGCTGGATACAAAACAGGCTGTGAGAAAAATGGTTTTCTAAAATTAATTCAATACATTCCTGCTTCCAAGAATAGTAAAGATATGACTGAGTACCTAGTCCTCCAGCATGTGCATCAATGAGAGATGCTGCTACTGCAATCCCTTCAGGGAGACCAAGATCTTTTGCAGCGTCTGGCGTTAGACCTTTTCCAACAGACTCTCCAGGAGACAAGACGTGGTTTCCTGGGCAGACACAAGAAAAACCAAACACCTGTCAATTTACTAAACAGAAAAATAAATGTGTATGTTATTACAAGAACTCCCTTCCTCTCTCTCAAGTTAGTGTGGTATATATAAAACAAAAAAGTGCATCAAAGAACTCCATCTGATTAAGAAATATCTTTCATTATCTGTCTGTATATTAAATACAGCCATGCTAGAGCAGACTGTCCCATAGTAATTTAAAAGTTCAAAAGTATTCAAAGTCCTATCTAGCCACAGAGAAAGATTTCACCACAAGCAATTAAACTCTGCTTGGCATCTTTCCAACAGATATGAAATACTTATGCAGAAATCCCAAGTTCTTGTGGTAGTTCCTGACTAGGCTGCCTGCAGCCGTTCTCTGTGCATGTGAACGAGATTTAGCTCAGCCCATGCTCACAACTGAAAACTGCACCTGTTGCACAAGGCAGGGGCCATTTTTTCCCCCCATTTCCATCCTTTCCAGCAGTTTCTACTAGGAATAAGGTAGCTATAGTAACAGAAACTCTGAAAAAGAAACTGGTTTAAGCAGCAAATTCCTCCTATTGCAGCTGTATTTCCTCAGAGACTTAAATAATCCCTTTTGAGTCTTCACTGGCCTTAAGTATGAAGAACATTATGGTCATCCTGAACACAGCAGTGCAACCCTTCCCTCTCAGTCCTGTCACCAGGGAGCCTGGTGGCAGGTCCCATCTGCATTTATCTCCGCTACCATAATGCGCATCAAATTTTGTCATGCGAAAAGAGATCGTTTCATTAAATCATGGTGAGAAGAGATTGCTTAGAGCTTTGAAGAACAAATCTAGAGTCATTAAACTTCCAGAATTTAAGGACACTCCCCCCCGACCCAGCCTCCTCTCTGGCTGCTGAGTATAACCACAGCTGAAGCAAGGAGACTGACAGCTCCTGGAACTGCACACACTTCCTTATTTATCTAAAGATTTGGTGGGTGAGAGGCAGTGGAAGGCACAGTGGGAGCTCCTATATACCTCCCTGCCAATACCATGGCTTTTAGTACATATCTGTAACATTTACTAAATTTGACACATTTTCTAGGCAGAGTTGACAAAACTTTTTAAAATAAAACAGGCTTATGTTCACAATCGATTCTATTGAGAATGTTACACCTAAAGCACGTTCTGATGTGTAGAAAGGAAGCAAAATATCCACCACGACAGAGATTATATAGCATATCATAAAATACCAGGAATACACTAATGCCCATGAGCATAATCATCTAGAAATACAGTTATACTACCTTAATAGTAGATGAAGGTTATGATATTAAATTTATGGGTAGAAAACGGGTCTTCAGTTTTATGTATCACTTAAATCTTTGTCTTTGCTTGTAAATGATGTTGGTTCTTCACTTTTAGGAAGGTGCCCACTTCCTGACAGATGCAGTGTATGGAGCACTTTTTCATTAGACAGCACACACAACTTCTCGGTACTCGTTTCTCCAAGAGTTTCTGTTCTACTGACCGTCACACTGCTGCCTCTGAAACGCTAGGCTGAACCTCATACTGGAAATTTAAACCAAGTATGTATAGTCAAAACTTCTGCATTTGACTTTGGGTTTATATTCGAACGTTGGGGGCAGTAAGCAAACCCCACCATTTAGCTTATAGGGAAGGAAGTAATGATGTTGAACTATCTCCTCAGAGGAAAAAAATGTCTGTACTTTATTAATTCTTAGTGTAAAGTCAAAACATTGTGCTAGCTTTTCAAGAGGTGATCTTTTGCAGTTTTTCTCCAATTAGTTGGAGAGCAGGATGTTTCTCTTTAAGAGAACTTTTGTATTACCTCTGTTTTTTTAAGACATTGGAGAATAATTATCAGTAAAGCAAGAAGTTCTGTGTTTCTCATGACACTCAAAGACCCTGCAGGTGAAAGGAAGTTCAGAAGAGTTCATGCAGCTAAACCCACATCTTTTTCTTCAGAATCAGTCACCTGACATGAAATCACACAAATATCTTGTATATAGAGCATGAGGTGAAATTAATCTGAAATAAAACCTCTTTTCAGGCACTCAATTCTATGGCTGGCTTGTTTATATCAGTCGTACTGGTCAAACATTTTAGTGTGTAATTATTATGTGGTTAAACTCCATTCTAGAGTTCAGGGCTACTATTAGACAAAAATCTTTTCCTACCAGCTCCTCAATTACTGTATTTCTAGTTAATGAGCACTAAGGGAGCAATTTCCGAGATAAAGATAATCCTCTCTCCTACAGCAGCAGTAAAAAATGACCCTATAGAGTCCTCTGGTACTAGTTATATATCAGAATGACCAGCAGCATTGCTATCCCCCATGGGCATCAAGTGTATGAGAATGGGTTTCTTATGATTTGAAGATGCAGCATAATAATCTTGTATTTTTAAAAAAATGAATTAAACAGTAGAGTATGCCCCATCTGTTTTAGGAGTCACGGTAAACCTGAACAATTATTCCTTGACTGAAAGCACTTTCTGACAATCTGGGAAGTGACAGCAGTCAGAAGCCACCCATGACAAGGATCGAGAAGGGGAGTCTCCTAGGTCAGCCAACAGTCAGGGAGTGCAGAAAAGAGGTGACAGCAAGTGGGAGCAGCAAAGAGAGGACACTGACTCAGCCCCTCTACTTCACCCTCCCAGCTTTAGAAATCAGTGAAAGCTCTGCTAAACCCATACAATATGTTCACGAGGAGCTTTGCAAAAGGGAAGAAGCCCGCTCTGCATGGGCACTCTTTCTGTCATCGTGGAAGTTGCCTCCCCACCCACACAAGTGTGAGTAAGTAGGTGTGGAATGGGCAAAGCTTTGGCTGAACCACATGGGTAGAGACCTGGAAAGGGAATTTTAATTCTCGTGGTTTACTCGTCACTGAAAAACTAGAAAACTCAGCTAAGCATCGCTATGCTTAGAATCTGTAAGTAAAAAGCTATTAAATGATAAAATAAAAAACACAAAAAGCAATCAAAGAGGAGCCACAATTAGAAAGTAAAGCATTTGAAACAAGTTGTACTGCAGTACTAGACCAGGAGAGACTGAACAGATTCTTACTTGAGCAAAACACGGTGGCTTTAGAAGTCAAGGGACAGCTACTATAAAAATAAAGGTATTCTACAGCTACACGCCAGCATTTCAACGGCAGGTGCTGCCACCCTGAAATCCTACATGTCAGGGGAAAGAAGCTGCCAGAAAGGGAGGAAGGGAAGTGAGAGCCGCCTGCGTACAGAGGCGGGCAGTGGGAGTATTACAGAAGGCTGCATAAAAGAGGCAGTGAAAGGACCGAGTCTTCTCAAGGCTCCTGCCAAAGTAAATGTATCGAGTCTTTTGTTTACAGAAGTCTCCTGTGCAAGTCATTTACCTTTGCTATAATGACTTCCAAAATTAGACCTAACCAAACAAACCCATAATGGCTGAAGCTGGAGAACTTTCTGTTTCACATTCAGAGAGCTGTTTCACTAATGCAATGCCTTAATCCACAACCTTTTCATTTCGGACGAGACAGACTATTTCTAGCTATTTTTTTTCCTCTATAAAGCAGCAAGTTTACAAAAGGAAAAAGCTGTCTGAATCTCTTCCTCCTCTTTTATCCTTCTTCGAAGCCTAATGTTAGAATTTGCTATGATCAGGTTTTGTTTAAAGAATTCATGTGGTACCAACGACCCTCTACCTTTTTAGGCGGTTACCACAGCAACCAGCTATTTACCAGACGCAACACACAAGGCAGACAATACATCTTCAGTCAACTTTAGTAATCAAAATTCACTGTACTGGCTTACTAATATTTACCAGAACTAGGTACTTTAGGATGTAGACCTTTTTAAAACCAACAAAAGCAGAGCGCAGCAGGGGGCCCAGCTGACTCAGCTATGATATACTCCCTGAGAACAGCTTTTCATCTATCACGCAGAACGTGGCTGCATTTCATATGCACTTATATTTGGCTGTATAATTGCATAAAAATTCAAAAGGAAGAAAATCAAAAGGAGATGTCCCTTTTCTTCACTAACTTGGCACAAGCAAACTTGAACTTGAATGTATCAATCCCTTCTGAAAACCCAGCAACCTCAGAAAGTAACCCAACTTAAGGATACATCCTGTCTCCAGTTTATAGCCTTCCCCAAACTGGACAATCTAAAGGCTTTTTAATTTAAAAGACAATACACAGACCAGACATCCTGTTAAATAAGTGATATATAACATGCACTGAAGAAGTTATCTAGTTAAACAAAGCTGCGCTAAATAAGGATCAAAGGAAACAGGACCTCAGTAAAAAGAAGCACTGTCCATCCAAATGGATCTCGTAATAAGCAATGTAAGGGATTTTATCCCTCTCAATTGTATAATACTCATATTTAACTGAGATATATATGGCTGATTGTTGTACAATTTTTAACCCAGCTGATTAGCAAAAATAGCACTAAGATCAGAAGGAAGCAGGATAACGATGCAGACTATAAAACCGTAATATTAACTTCTTCTTAGGACTGAATGCATGGTGGTTGAAGAGTGTTAAAAACAGCCAGATTGGGGCTTTTTTAACCTGGAAATACCCTCCATAAAATTTCCTGGTTGGCAGTTAAAAACTTCAGAATTTTTATTCAGGAAAACCAAAACAAATTGTGATATTATAGGCCAGCTTATTTAAAAGTGAGAAAAACAGTTGGTTAAACAAAATCACTTTGGCTTTCTTCAGTTCAAAATTCATCTCTGTCTATGCGAGCTGCCACAGTAGCTTGAGGCAAGTCTAATTTGGGTCCTTTCCATCCCACTCTCCCATACAGCTTATGCCTTTGGCTGAACTACATCTCAACTACCTAACATGTAATTACTTAAGGCAGACATATTAGGTTGCTAAATACTGGCAAAAGCAAGCAACCTATGTGCAGGCAGATCCCGATTCATTAAGCTGAAAAGTAAATTGGTCCGCAGACCATAGGTGCCTACTTCAACAAAGACTACTGCCTTCTTGTCCAAATGAAAGAGAGCTACTTCAT